TTATCTAGTATTCAAAAATTTTGTTCTGAATTTAAATTTCCTTTCATCTATATGTTATTCTTCATCTTTTTATCTTAAAATTGGTCTGTTGGAGAACAGGTAGGTGCTGCAACCTGGAGAGTCACCCACTTTCCGGCTCCTGCTGTCCCTCTCGGCCAGCTCAGCTTTCCTCTGCTCTGATGTTTTCTGTAACAGTCATGTGGGTCCCGTGGCATTGTCACACTCAAGGCTGACCCCTTGGGTGAAGCACAAGTCTTTCTTTTTGTAATATATGAAGCCCCTAGTGCTCAGTCCAACCAGTTCTGATGTTCACATTTCTCTAGTTCTTTTGCTTTTCTGATGCTCATTGTATATAGTTGAGTTCTCAGGAATGACCGGTGGGGCAAAGTGTTCTCTGAGCTTTTGATGTTGACATCTTGCTTTGTTTAAACTTTTATTCTTGAAAATCAGCTTTGTTGGATATAAAATTCTCTGTTTACATTTTCTTTCCTTGAGTATTGGGATGGTTAATTTTATATGCACTTGGGGATTTAGCTCAGTGGTTCTGGCACCTGCCTCCTAAAGGTCCCAAGTTCGATCCCCGGTACAAAAAAAAAAAATTTATGTGCTAGCTGGCTGAGTCACGATGACTAGATATGTGGTGAAACATTATTTTGGTTGTTTCTGTGAAGGTATTTTTGGATGATATCACCATTTAAACTGGTGGATTTTGAGTAAAGCAGATCGCTTTTTGTAATATGGAGTGGGTATTATCCAAGCACTTGAAATTATGACTAGAACAAAAGGCCAACAAAGGAATTCTGCAGCTGTCCTTTGACTTGAACTGTAACCTCTCTTCCCTTGGTCTCCAGGCTGCAGACCTACCCTGCAGACTTTGAACTTGCCACTGTCTATAATAATGTGAGCCTATTCCTACAATAGAGCCTTTTCTCTCTCAGCACACAGCCTATGCATTTTATTTTTCTGGGGGAAATATCATATATTTACTTGCCTGTTTTTTTTTTTTGCAATAAAGTTTGATGTTGAAATGGCTGATAAAAATCTAATTTTCTTTCCCTTGTTCCTTTTTCCAAAACTCAAAGGATTTTACTTCAGTCCAAAGCTCAGATTCTGTATGTGTTTTGTTAGATTTATTCCTGTTTTTAATTTTTTGAAGTTATTATAAATTGTATTGATTTTTAAATTTATTTTCCCATCACAAATTGTTAATATAGAGAAAAAAGATTAAATTTTATTTGTCAGCCTTATATATTATGGCCTTTAGTCATAAACTAGTTATTGGAATTGAAAATATTTTGTTTTTGTAGATGCTTTGGAATTTTCTACAGACAATTAAGGTGTTGTGCATAGGGTCAACTTTCTTTGTTCTTTTTAAATCTGTATGTCTTTTATTTCTTTTTCATGCCATATTATGCTAGCATAGAACTTAGAACTTCCAGCATAATGTTGAAAAGGGGTGATAAGAGTGAACCTCCTTGCTTTTTTCTCAACTTAGGAGAAAACACTTATTTTCATACCACTGAGTACATTGTTCCTGTAGGTTTTATGGTAGATGTCCCTTATCAGACTGAGGTCCTTCTTTTCAATATGCTAGTTTTCTGAGAATTTTATTATAAATGGATGTTGTTTGGTAAATGCTTTCTCTGCATAAGTGATGTGATCATACAATTTTCTTTTTATTAGGTTATTAATATGGTGGATTATGCTGATTAATTTTCAAATACTGAATAATCATTGCATCTGTGTGAAAAGTTCTGAATGATTTTGGTATGTTATTCTTATCTATTATAGGATTAAATTTACTAATAGTTTTTGAGAGTTTTTATGTTTATGTTCATGAGGAATCTTGTTTGGTAGTTTTCTTTTTCTTTTTTTTGGTCTAGATTTAGTATCAAAAGTTTTTGTGTACTTTTATTTTCCTCAAAATATGGCATAATAATTTTGCCAATTATTCATTAAAAATCTACAATGGATTTTCAATTTTCTAGTGGAATAAGACTATCACATTGTTGTTAATCTACTTTGTATCAAACTTTTAAAAATATATGTAGCTTACTTGGTAAATCGCCCTATTCATATCTCTTGCTGTACTTTCTCCCACTCTAATGTCCAGGCCTATCGTACTACAAATATCTTGCTTGCAATTCCCCAAGTGTGCCAAGCAGTGATAGAATTCTAATTTCTTCACCAGTCATTTTGCTACTGCCAGAAATAGCCTATATCCACATCTATATGTCTCTAATACCATCTAATTTTTCTGGCCTCATTTCATAGCAACTCTATATAAAAAATGTTCTCAAACTCCAGGTCTTGGTGTGTGTTTCCTTCCTGACACCTCTGTTTTTCTGTATATTGATGCCTATTGTAGCTCTTGTTTATATTCAAGTTTCTCCCTGTACTGCTTACTGAGTACTTTGAAGGCAGGAATTGTTTTCTTTTTTTGTTATGGGGGATCGAACTCGGGACCTTGTGCTTGCGAGGCAGGCAGTAGCACCATGGAGCCAAATCCCTAGCCCTGAAGGCAGGAATATTTTTTAAAAGTATCCAAGTACTTAATAAAATTGAGTGCATAGTGATGCTCATTATATGTTTGCTGATAAGATGAAAGAATAAATATCTTAGAGCCATCAATGTCATCTGAATTTACCGAGAGGAAGCTTTATGGTTTTCTATTCTTTGCCTACCAAAGAACTTTGCAAATATTTTTTTTTGTGGCTAATATTTTAAATCTTTGATGATTCAGATATTAATTATGGTCCCTATTCTGAATATTTTCAAAATATAATTTTGAAATACAGACATCCCTCATTTAATAACCAAGATACGCTCCCATGACTAGGTAGTTAATTGAATCAGTCACTAAATACATTATAATATTCAGAACAGATAAATAGTCAAAGGAAACTCCAACATGATGACTTTGTATAACTCTTACATGCAATACTGTAATGTATAATGGAATATAAAATGACTATACTGTACTATACTGTACAATCAGCAAAAATTACAGTACTGTACACTAGAAGAAGCCACTATAGGCCACATGCTATCTGCATTTGTAAGTCTGAATATGGGTATTAAGTCCAAGCATCTGGTTGTAAGTCCAGTCGTTAAATGGCTAGGTTGTTAAACAAGGAATATCTGTATATATGTTTTGATGTATAATTGTGGACACAAGTTTGGGACAGTAAATGTAATTTATGGTGATCTTAAAACTCTGATTATTAGCTAAGATTTCTGAGCTTAATGAGTTCCAAATAAAAAATAAATATCAATGAATCATTGTCATTATTTCCAAAAATTAAATAAATATTGCATGTTAACCCTTGATAAATGTGTTCAGCGAAATACTGAATTCTTTGCTTTTGACTGTAATTTTGTTACATGGCAAATCAGAAATTCAGAGTGACAGTTATAATCATTGACTAAATAAGTACTATTTAATAATCATAGCTTTGAACACAAAATCTTATAAAACGTCATGTACATGAGAGGGCTACAAGGTTGTTAGCAGCAAAAAGGAAATCATTTTTATGACAATTTTTGTTATACTTTATTTTCTTATAATTATTGTTTCTTGAAAGTTTAGCTTTGGGAAATGCCTCAGTAGCTGAGGATTCTGCTGAATTGGTTTCTTATGAATTATTTGAGATTTTGTGGTTAAATTGCTCAAGAGAACAGACCTAGTTCAGGAATTAAATTTCTTGAAAATATATGCATTTTCTTTGCAACTTCTGGTGAGTCAATATTTTCTGTGAATTGCTTTGACTTCCTAGTAAGCTTTGGTGGAAGAATTACATACCTCAGTGCCCAAATCCCAGATGAGTCAATTGCATTTCTTCTCAAGAGACTTTTGCCTTTTCCGTGAATAAGGCTAGATGGATGGGTACTCTGGTTGTTTCTTAGAAATTTCTTTAAATTAGTATTCTAGTTGCGCTTCAGGATGATATGGAAAAAAGCTGGCGTGTTGCTTTATGCAAATATAAATCAGAACATAATTTGAACAGTGACCATTTGATATGTTTATCTAAAATATTTAGATTATATACAATGAGAAAATTTGAAAAGCTGGGCCAATTTTTATAGAGGGGAAAAATTGGTTTCTATGCCATCAGTTAGTTATAATAATACCAACAACTAAGCAGTCTTTGCCATGGAGACCCAATTTTCTCCCCTGAATATTTCATGATGTTCTAGTGGATGGGGCAGGGGACTACTACAATGACATGCTAATCTCCCAAAAGTCTAAGAATTTTAAATTTGGAACCTGGCTTTCCAGGAGCTTATTGTGGTATGTTTGTCAAGGTAGAAGGATAAAGCATATCTTACTTAATAATTAGCTAGCCTGATTTAGAACTTGTAAATATTTAGATGTGTAGTATGCAGGGTTTTATGTGTACTCTTATTCCCTGAAAATGTTAAAGATAGGCTTGACCAAAGGAGTCCATTAATGAAAATGTAGCATTATAGCAGTTAAATGAAAGTCAATGGCACATAGCACAAAATAATATCTAAGAAGATTCTTTTTTTTTTTTGGTACTGGGGATCGAACTCAGGTCCTTGTGCTTGTACAGCAAGTGGCAAAACCACTGAGCTAAATCCCCAGCTCTAAGAAGATTCTTTTACTAACAAAGGCTAGTGAAAAGATGACTGTTTGGAACTTTTATTATCTATTATTGCATACCAAATTATCATACATTGAAATAACATTTATTTTCTCACAGTTTCTGAGGGTCCGGAATCCAGGAGCAGCTGGGCTCAGAGTTTCTCATGGGATTGCTGTGAAGATTTGGCCTGGACTGTATTCACATCAGGCTTGATTGGGCCAAAAGGTCTGCTTTCAAGTTCCCAAAGTCTGCCTGGGTGACCTCAGGAAGTGACAGCTGCCTTCCTCCATAGTAAGGAATGCAGGACACACACACACACACACACACACACACACATACACAAACACACACACACGGGGAGGGGTGGGGAGAGAGAGAGAAGTTATTCTATAAAGTAGTTTCAGGAGAGATCACCAGCATTTTGTTGTATCCTGTTGCTGTTACAGACCTACCATCTAGTTCCATGTGGAAGAGGACCACACAAGGGTAAGATACCAAAGATTGGAGATCTTTGGGACCATCTTAGAGGCTGGATACCACAGAATGCTTTACTGAATATTTCCAGCCCACTAACCTTTTGGTTCTTGCTCACACAGTTCTGTCCCACCTCAGGGGCCCTGTGTTCATGGCCTTTGCCTGATTTACCCTTTCCATTGATCTTGCCTGGGTGACATACTGTTCATATATATATATATATATGTATATATGTATATATGTATATATATGTATATGTATATGTATATGTA